TGGAGGGAAAGTTTACGACTCTTTGTCTCCGAACGTGGTAATTTGCATATGTAACTGGATTGGATGTTGATGCAAAGACTACTAAAGATTCTTAGAACACTAATATGTTGCATAAGTATCAATATATAATATAAACTCTCAATTAGATCATCCGAAGACGAATTCATAGAGACCAAACATGGTATAGGTAAGGTTACATGAACGAGTGGTTCTATCATAAGCATGCATAAAACAGTATACAATACAAAAGACAATATACAAGAACAGTAATAATATGCACAATGACCTGAGGATATGTGATAGGAAGGTCAAAGAAAGGTTTGTCTGTGAATGAGAGTCCATTTATATGGCATTGTGTGTCTTTCCTATGGGTAAAAGGTAGTGAGAGTTGCTCTGCCTGCATTCCTTTGGGCAATAAAACCAGTGTTATCAGCATTGGTTGCCATGGAACCAGAGGCCTGTTCTGCCTTTTTGAGGAGTTAGCCGCATTTCGGAGGAAGGGTCCATAGACCCTCATAGTTGGCTTGTTGATTGAGGGGTGTTACAGAGTATTTGTTAAATATAACAAAAATTGTGTGTCTGATTGGTCCAGACGCTACATTGGTTAAAGACTGTTTACCTTCTCTCTTCGTCCAAACGTCCATTTCCCGATAACATTTGAGCACTGTTGAGCAGATTCTTAAACACAACTGATTGGTCATAGTGTTGGCTACAATGATCATCGCTTCACGCTCTTCACAAGCACTCACACAGAAGCACATAGGAGCGTTTGAAAGCCGTGCCTATCAGCGCGGATCCGTCTATATCCGTCTCTCAGATATATTAGGGATCCGCTGATAGACGCGGCTTTCAAACGCTCCTATGTGCTTCAGTTTACATCTCGCTGGATAGTGGATGCTATAGCCTTGGTTTATGCCTCAACAGGCTTGCAGTGGTTGGTGAGATTTTATTGGTGAGATTTGTGCGGCCGCCGGCTTTCTACATAAGTGTTAAAGCAACGCAACGGGAGAGACCGTTCGATAAGGAACGCTCCGGTTACAAATGTAACCTTGGTTCCCTGAGACAAGGGAACAAATGTTGCATAAGTTGCTGTGCTTTAAGGTCGCTTCAGTCGAAAGATTCTGATGAAATGGCGCTCTGAGACAACTTATATAGCAGTCAGGTCCTCCCCTTCTGGCGGGTTTGTGCAGCTACACAAACGTGAACAAATAAGGCCTCAGTAACTGAGTAAACAGTAGTTTCCTCATAAGCATCAAAGCAACACAACGCTCGTTCCTTTATCTCAGGGAACCAAGGTTACGTGAGTAACCAGAGCGTTTTGTGATGTGAAACTGACCTCCAGTTTTGAGTTCCTGTAGTTGTGCACCACAGCTTTGATTTCCACATGTTCATTTCTGGACACTGAGTGAGGCAGCCGCAGATCTATGAAGAACGACTTCCACGCCCGGACGTTATACGGTTCAGCTACACAGAAACCTGAAAAGAAAACAGAAAAGTTTATTTTTTGTTCCTGATTTTTTGCTAGTTCTCATGTTTTAGACAGCTAATTAAATCTACTAAAATTATATAGCCAAATGCAATACTTGATTTATTTATTTATTTTTGTCTATGTTGTTTTTAATATTTGTAATTAGCACTCTTTAAACACTAGTGACTATTAATAAAAAATATTATAAGTCATATGCAGAAATGCTTGACATGTAGCATTAAAAGATAATTAATAAAATATTTGTAATTCATATGCAGATATACTTCACATGTAGCATTAAAAGCTAAATAAATATTTTTAAAAATATGTCATTCATTAAACACAGCATTAAAAGCTAAAAAATTTAATTATATTAATTTGTAATTCATATGCAGAAATGCTTGATATGTGGCAGTAAAAGCTAAATAAATAATAAAATATTCACAATTCATATATTTTGATTGTAATTATTTATTTATCATTGTGACAGAAATAAAATCATTTATTGGACACTTAAACATAAAAATGATCTGTATCGTTTGTAAAATCGTTTGTATAGCAGCAAATGTGCTTTATTGTTTGGCTGAACTAGAAAAAGAGTTTGGATTCTGCTACAAAGAAGCTCTGTCAGATGGACAAAAGGACAGAGCTGTTTGTTTACCTGTCTGAGGTGAAGCACTGACGGCTAGAAACCCCCACTGAGTGATGCTGTCAGGAAGAACAGTGTTTACTGGAAATACAGCCAACCTGGAATAAAAGCATGGAGAGACACTTGCATCACTGAACATGATAAAAGTGAGACATCTATACTGAGTCAAAGGTCAAGCTCCTACCCATCAGACTTGGTGACACTGGGTAATCTAATGTCGGTCCACAGCCACGACTCGAAGAACTTGCTGCGCACGTAAATGTCCTCTAAGTCAGCTAAATCATCTTCATCGAACTCTTCCACCTCCTCTTCTTCTTCTTTCATCTTGTCAGCATGACTGTTCTCACGTACTGCAATCTCAGGTGTGCGGATGCGCTCAAAATGGGTCGAAGGTTCGCTGACAATAGTTTTTGAAGGATAGTGATAAACATAACGCCGGTAAGAAAGTAGCTTGGTGGTGGTGTGTACAGGGGTGGTGGTTGGTGGAGGGGTGGTTGTCGGGGGTCTGGTAACGACACCAAGCTCCTCTCCTCTGTACTCCGCACAACAGCGAAGGAAAGCCAACACACAGCTCCAGTCCTCGGTGATGTAGAGGGAGCGACGGTAGCAGGAATACGGCATGGGAATCTCCCTCATGCCGTCCACACAACATCTCTGCAGGAACTCGTCAGAATATGCCTTCTCTGAGAGAAAAGAACGTGTTTAGGATGACTTAGCACATTAGCTTACCTTTCACTAGAGCTTTTGCTAACACTTTCATATCACCGCTTCTCTAACAAACTGTAACATACCAAACTTTTAAAGGATTTCTTATGTAATGACAGAGACTTACCAAGTTGCTCTCTAAGCTGTAGTTTGGCAACAGAACGTCTTCTTCTAGATCTACTGGAACAATCTATTCCAAACAAACCAAAGAAAATGCACTCTTGAAATTGAAGGTTTTCTATTGGCATTGATGGTTCCATGAAGAACCTTTAGCATCCATAAAATCTTTCCATTGCACAAAAGGTTCTTTATAGTTGAAAAAGGTTCTTTAGATTTTAAAATGATCACAATAAGAAAAAAATGGATCTTTTAGGAATGGATCTTTTCATTGAAAGGTTCTTTGGGGAACCAAAAATTTTACTTCTGTGGCATTACTGTAAAACCCCTTTTGGAATTTCTATGTTTAAAAGTGTATAAATCAACATTTGCATTCGTAAACCATTTGGCGAGTCTTGATTTTGTCCATTGGGAGTTGATTGGATTGGTAAAATGGGGCATTTCAAACTAGACTGACTGCACGTTTATAGATCAACTTGTTGGAGACCAAGAACGGTGACTGGAATGTGGATGTTGTAGGTCAAGTTCACCCTCAAGAACATCTCAATGTAATCCCAATGATATATGGTATCACTGGTGTAACAATGCATTAACCTTAACCGACTATAAATAATTTTGTTAAATATTGGCAAAATTTTAAAAAGGCTGAATAGCAACTGTAGCCTAAAGCTATACGTCTAATAGTTAACATTAACCAGTCTATGTATTAACTGACAGCATGTGCAACCTAGGCCAGCGTACTGCCAAATAAATATATTTCTTCTGGATTTTTAATGATACATTTGTAATTTTGGCAATAAAATTTAAAACCTCCATTTCATGCTATTTTGTGTTGCTGCTATCCTCATTAGCTTTGAAGCTCTGGATGTGTTTTATATAAACTACTGTTCAAAAGTTTGGGGCCAGTATGATTTTATTTTAAAGAAATTAATACTTATATTCACCATTGTTGCATTAAATTGATCAAAAGTGACAGTGAAGATGTTTATGAAGTTACAAAAGATACTTCAAATAAATGCAAGTAGAAATCACAGAATCCTGAAAAAAATGTATCATGATTTCCACAAAAAATGTTAAGCAGCACAACTGTTTTTGGGATTGATAATAATAAGAAAATTCTTGAGCAGTAATTACGCATATTGGAATTATTTCTGAAGGATCATGAGACACTGAAGACTAGAGTAATGATGCTGAAAATGCAGCTTTGCATCAAAGGATTAAATTACATTTTAAAATATATTCAAATACAAAACAGTTATTTAAAATTGCAATCATATTTCACAATATTACTTTTTGATCAAATAAATGCAGAAATCAAAAAACATTTTCCGAACTTTACAGACCCCGAACTTTTGAGCGGTAGTGTAATGTATGGAAGCTTGTTTCTGCCACAGGATAAATAAATAAAAAAGGTGCCATTTTTTTATAATTCAGACTGTTTTTCACATTAATGAATTATATGATATAAATGCAGAATTATGATAAACACAGCACTGAGATATATAAATGCAGCATTCTAAGAATAAAAGTCTGAATTGTGAGATATAAAATTGTAATTTTGAAGTCAGAATTTTGAGGGGGAAAAAACAAAAAGCTTCCATAGTAATGACATTTATTTTAGAAAAAAATATATTAAATGTTAATGCATGTGAAGGACCTTTTTTGTAGTCCGTGTATGCTCCTGTGCTGGAATGAAACATCAGTCCTGCGTCACTGAAAACACCCATATTACTCCTGCCTCCTCCTGCGGTGCAGCCCATATCACCCTGACCCACCACCTCCCACACCTGAACGAAAGAGACATGAGTATCCACCAGGGTCTGGAGAAGGTTCTGGAGTGAAAACTATATCATCACTTACCTTCTTCTGCGTCAGACGGTTTTTATTCAACAGGAAGATGGCATTATCCACAGCAACCAGGCTGACCTTTGCCCCTGGGTCTCCTTTCACTTCAAATGTAATGCTGCTGCCTGGTGAGTACGAATTGAGTTTTTCTTCCTCCGCTGGACCTACACTGAGCTAATATAAATCACAAATACAGATTTCACCTTAATGCATCCTTGTTGAATAAAAATATTATTATTTTTTTAATCTGCATGGTAACATTTAGAATATTTATTTCTTCTCTTTACATTTTTGTAATTCTCTTTTTTAAACCTTCTGAATTTTTCTTATCAAAAACATGTAAAAGAATTGGGCAAAAGACAAATGTACATGTGTTTTTAACAAAATTCTAATTGGCTGCTATATAATAAGGCCAAGATTAGACTCTCATGGTAGGAGAAGAATAATAATTTGAATAATAGTTCTGTTTTTGGCCCTCAAATGTACCATAAAGCGCTAGAATGTGCATCTTTACTGTTAATAATTGGTCATGGATGCCACATGAACTCACCGAACCAACACACCGGTCCTCAACATCCACAAACACAGAGTCTGCCACCACGTCTGGACTATGCTGCCATGGCAAAATGTAGTAGGCCACAAAGCGAAACGCAGGTAGCATTTCTGAGGTAATCAGCAGAGGAATGTTTATGACGACCAGGTCTTTGACATTCATCCTAGCAGCGTGGATTATGTTTCCTTTACTTAACACCTACAGAAACAATCATCAGTGTATTTAATACAGAGATTCAAGTCATTCTCATAATATCCCAAAATGCCCCCAGAGACAAACTCACAGCATACGTCAGCTGCTCCACAAGTTTTCTTCGTTCTGGTGGGCTAGATTTGATGTGAGCTTGGATGTTGAGTGTGCTGCCCACCACCACTGGACTGTTGCCCACTGAGATGTGCAGGTAGTTCCTGTAGCCGATAAAAGAGACATATGACTCCACACGCATCTCTTGCACAGCCTGCTGTTCTGGTTTCAGTGAAGGATCTGCTGTCTCCACCTATATAAGAATACATACTGACAGGTATAACAAAATTTTGTATTGTTTCTTTATGTGTTTCTGTGAGCGACTTACTTTCAGTATCGTTGAGCTGTACTTCAAAGGCACGTTGATGGAGACTTTGATGGTCCCGCTGTGTACGGTGATTGGGTTTTCAAGAAAGCTGATTTTAACAGGAGTATTGGGGGCTGGAGATCCGTCGTGGTCACTCACAGTAACCTAAAAAAACAAAACATATTCACAAAAAGAATAATGCTAACATCAGGGGGCCAGTTGCATAAAGTTAGCCTCTATGTTAAGACAGTAACTTAAGAACTAGTCTGACAAACTAGTAGTTGGCCAAGGAGTAATCAGTCTTATTTTTTGGATTCAACTTAGACTAATCTAAATTTTTATGTAACTGAATTAAAAAATATATGACTGGTCTTAAATAAAAAAAATAGCTGACTAACTTTTAAGACTAGTCTTAACCTTTTATGCAACCGGTCCCAGGTACTAATATCAACAATGCAATCATTACATCGAATTAGATTACTGGTTGTATAGTTTACCCAAAAATTATCATTGTGTCATTTACTGTATATTCTATTAATTTACTCTCTCTCATATATATCTATATATATATATAGTACTGTGAAAAAGTCTTATGCCACTAGTAGTTTCACCAACAAAAAATGGTTTAAAGTCAGTTATTTATATCTTTTGCTGTATTGTGTTAGTAGGAAATATCAGTTTACATTTCCAAACATTCATTTTGCCATTAATTGTAATAATCCAAAGAGATTTTTTTCTTGCACAAGGAGTCTGACAGCAGCCAGTGCGCCACACAGAGATCTGATCTCATCATCATCCAGTCTGTCTGGAATGACATGAAGAAACAGAACAAACTGAGACTAGGGCTGGACGATATGGCCAAAATTTATATCACGATAAATCTCTTAATTTCGGTCAATACGATATAATTCCGATATCAATATGAACAATATTTTTAAAAAAGCCTTGGAAAAACTGCCAAGAACGCCCACAATGGATGTCTGTACCCAGGTCTGGACTGGTGAAAGATTATGTGTATCTTTAGTCAGATGCATTTACATTATGACTGTGCCCTATGCAATCAACAGGAACTGTCTATAAAGGTGTGAACCAAATGGTCCATACATTTAGAATAACAAAAGAACAGTACTCCTCAGGAACTTCTTGTAGATAACAGGATCTCCAGCGGGAGGTCCTAACAGTATCTGTTGTTTGTGTAGCCCTTTTGTCTTTAAGTATAAAGTTCTGTCTCACAGACAGAACTCTGGGAGAAGCTAGGAGTCTTACAAGGGTTAAGATATTTTGAAGACCGACAAGCTAACATCACTGTTAAAGCCCTGCTACACTGCTACCTTCAATAAATTATTCTCCCAACAAGAACTCTGGTCAAGCTTACTTATTTTATGTATTAGAGAAATCTAATGCATTGGCGAGCCACCCAAACCACTGCTCAGCCAAATACAGCAAAATCTAACACTGGGGTTAAAATTCGGCCCTGGAAAAATCCAGCCCATGAGTTCCCCTGTGAATGTTTTGCTGGGTTATAGGGCCTTCAATTGGAGTAAATAAATTAATAAATAAAACAGGACAGAAACAAATAATGACAGATATTACTGAATTCACAGCAAATGCAACAAACTTAATAATGCATTTTTGTCACATAGAAATGCACTTGACAGTAAAGCATTGATTTTGAGCTAGAATGCAGGAACTTCATTGCTAATAAATTCTGTGATAATTTCCTCGCCCTCATGTCATTCCAAACCTGTATGACTTAAAGTCCGCATGAAATCAAAATTGTCTTTATTTACTTTACTAGCGCAAATTGCAAGTCTTGATGTGACTTGATGTGACCAAAAGTCATTTGGACCACTTTTAGACATTTCTGTTGAATGAAATGCTCCGGTTACTGACGTAATCTCAGTTCCCTGAGATAAGGGAACGAGCGTTGCGTGAGACGCTAAGGGGAAAACTCCTGTTTTACTCTGTACTGAAGCCTGATTTGTTCACGTTTGTGTAGCTGCACAAACCAATAGTGCTTTAGCCCGCCAGAAAGGACAGAGCCGACCCTTATACAAGTCGGCTCAGAGCGCCATTCATCAGATCATTCGACTGAAGCGACAGTCATCGATTTGCGTGCAGCTTATAGCGCGGCAAGTGACACAACGCTCGTTCCCTTATCTCAGGGAACTGAGGTTATGTCAGTAACCGGAGCGTTCCCTTTCGAACGGTCTCTCCCGTTGTGTGAGACGCTAAGGGGAATGCATCCAATCACGCCGCGCTATGAGCCGATACAGGACATCCTGCTCTGCGAGCCCAGTCTCGGAGCACTAATAAGGACCCCTGAGAACATGAGCACATTATGCCCCAAGCTAGTAGCTGAGAAGCACTAATATAACCAGCTTCGCCCAAGGGGGAAGAGTGGTACATTAAACTGAAAGAACTCGCACCTGTAAAGCAGGGACATCTAAGTTATAGAATCTGGCAAATGTGGACGGGCGATGACCAGCCGGCGGCCGCACAGATCTCCCCAATAGAAATTCCGCTGGACCATGCCCAGGAGGAGGCCATCCCTCTTCTGGAATGGGCCCTCACACCTATAGGGCACTGCAAGCCTTTTGAGGCATAAGCCAAGGCTATCGCATCAACGATCCAGCGAGAAATTCGCTGCTTTGTGGCCGGCAGTCCTTTATGGCGGCCTCCAAAGCAAACAAAAACTGCTCTGACTGTCTAAACAGGCTAGTGCGCTCTAGGTATACTCTCAGAGCCCTTACTGGGCAGAGCATGTTCGGACCCTGCTCACCATCTGTAACGGGGAGCGCCAATAGGGAGATCACCTGAGCTCTGAACGGAGTTGAGAGCACTTTAGGAACATAACCATGTCTTGGCTTTAGAATGACTTTACAGCCATTAGACCCAAACTCAAGACATGAGGCGCTGATTGACAGCGCTTACAAGTCACCCACTTGCTTAACTGACGCCAAGGCAAGGAGGAGGGCCATTTAAAACAATAAGAGCCGCAAATCAGCCGAACTGAGCGGCTCAAAGGGGGGCCCTCTTAGGGCTCGCAGGACTATAGACAAGTGTCAAGACGGCACAGTCTGAGGGCAAGGAGGATTCAGCCTCCGTGCACCCTTCAAGAACTTAACGATCAGGTCGTTTCTGCCGATCGATTGGCCAGCTTCGAGAGAATGGTTCGCTGCGATAGCTGCCACATACACTTTGAGTGTGAAGGGGGCGCGCCCCTTATCCATGGCAAAAAAGTTAGCACATGGGACAGGTCACATGATATCGGGTCCAAACTTCATGCAGAACACCAGTTAAGGAAGACCGACCATTTTAGGCTGTAAAGTCGTCTTGTAGACGGCACCCTTGCCTCCAAAATGGTATTGCTTACTCTCGCTGGGAGCTGATTAAGCTCCCGTCAAGGCACCATACATGAAGGCTCCACAGCTCCGGCCGGGGATGCCAAATCATGCCTTTCGCCTGCGAGAGAAGGTTCCTCCTCAGCGGAATGGGCCACGGGGCTGCTGCTGAGAGCTGCACTAGCTCTGGGAACCAGGCCTGGTTCCTCCAGAG